CATACATTTTAAAGAGAGGACACGAGATTTTAAGATGGTTCTATGTTGTGGCAGCTGCCGTGTGCTCTCTGCTCTCAGATCCTGCGGGGGATGGGGGCTCCCCTCTGCCATGTATTTGACCCCGAAGGGCGGCTCAGGGAACCGTGGGAGCTGTGTCCCTGCAGTGGGTGCGTGTGGATCTCAGAATGGCCAGAGTGACCAGGCTGGGTGCAGAGCCCAGGCCTCTGGGTTCCCTGTTCTTCTCTCAGCACGGCCTGCTGGCTCACGAGGGGTGGCCTTTCAGAGATCCCCCCGCCCCGAGTTTGCCGCTTCACTCAAGGGAGATCCAGCTGTGTCCAGAGGGATGAGCTGCATCCTGCAGCCATCACCTTGTAGGAGAGGGAAGCTGCTGCTCCCAAGAGCTCAGGCCTTTGTGGCCTCGGGTGGCTGGGCTGAGGGTGTGGCAATGCACTGAGGCCCAGGGTCCCAGGCAAGCAGGACAGTCTCCCCAGAAGCACTGGAGACAGGCACGAATGGAGGAGGGTGACAGGAGGCCATGGGGAGGCCCAGGGAGCCGAGAGAGGAGTGGGGCTGGGGCTGCCCCGATGGGGAGAGAGCCGGGCCGTGCAGGTGCTGAACGACCCAGGGCGGGAGAGCCTCCCAGTCCAGGGCTGGTCTGAGCACAGGTGCACACTGGTGTCATGGCGGCTCTCGCTCACTGCTCCGTTCACGCTCTGCCTCCTTCCCTCGGACACAGGAAGCCGGTGTGTGCTCAGCCCCCGCTCATGTGTCTACTCGTCCAGGCACCGGGGTTGGTGCTGTCAGCCCGCATAGCCCTGGGTCACCTGTGGCCTTGCCTCTGTGCTTCTGGGCAGCCAGCACTGAAGTGCACAGGTACAGGCCGGGCTGGCAGCAGAGTTTGTGCCCAGCGCTTCGGTGCATTCTCCAGGGAGAGGGTGCTGCTGAAGCTACGATTGGGTCAGGAAGCCCTGGGGTGACAGAGGGGCCCCAGCAAGCCTTTCTACACCCTGCTTCACTGCTGTGGCACAGGCTGGGGCCCAGTGAGCCCCCAAATCTGACACCTGAGTCAAGATGACCTCTTGAGCAATGATTGTCCCTGGTGGCTGCCCATGGTGGCTACATCTTGGGCTGGGGTTGGGAACTCAGCCAAGCGTGAGACCAGCTCTCCGGAACAGAGAAGCCATCGGGGGGTTGGGTTTACAGTTATTTACCCCAATCTCTCAATTGGCTTTAATGACGCAATTTTTGGCATCTGATGAGTGTAATGGACTATTAAGATCACTACTTGTTGTGTTTTTAATAGAAGAAACCCACTGTGGAGTGGTTAGTGTAAATCACTGGCTGAATGCCGACAATCACTCTCCTCTGGGGAAACCAGGCAAGCCAGGTTTCTGCGCACGGGTGTGTTCGCCGATTATTGGGGACTCTTAACTTACTGGGATATAAACATGGATCCTTTTCCCAACAATTGCTTCCAGCCAAGCCGACAGCCCTCAGCTCAACCTGCTCTTCCAGCTGAGCTGCAGGCGAGCTGGGCTGGAGCTCACACTGGTTCTGTCACTGTCCAGATGCCCCTGGTCACTACTGGCAGCAGCCCAGGGCTGAGCCCCAGCCCACTTGCTAAGCCGTGTGTCCCTGAGTGCTCCCACTGTGTTCCCTGGAGTGGGGTAACCATAGCGCCTCTTCCGCCGTCCTCGCGGTGAGGACTGAGGGAGGCGACCTATGCAGGGCGCTTAGGCTGGCATAAAGCAAGTTGTGCTTTTATTAGGGCCAGGGAGTCTCATTATTGTTTGTTGTTACTGCACAAATATCTCTTGGAGATCCTGCTTTCAGTTCTTTTGGGTATATGCCCAGAAGTGGAAATGCTGGATCATACAGTAATTCTATGTTTAATTTTTTGAGGAACCACCGCACTGTTTTCCGCGGGGGCTGCACCGTTTTACATTCCCGCCAACAGTGCACAAGGGTTCCAGTGTCTCCACGTGCATTCCGGTTTCCCGATGGTAGCCGTCCTCGTGGTGGGAGCGTACCGCGCTGTGGATCCGCTGGGGGTTTCCCACCCGGGAGCGATGGGATGTCACTTGTGTGCTACAGCTCACTCGGCCGGCTCGGCAGAAGCAGGGGCGCCCGTTGGAGGCTGCTGCAAACCTCAGCAGAGGCGATGATGCGTTGCCCAGGGGATGGCACGGCTTGGTGACATGGGTGGATTCTGGATATAGTTTGAAGGGAGAATCAATCAGATTTGCTAAAATTTTATTTGGGCCATGAAATGGAGTCCAGAATCACCTTGAGGGTCTGGCTGAGCCGCAGAGAGAATGACCTTGCCGCGCATGACACAGGACATGACGGGGGAGCAGGGCGTTGGCGGGAGGGCAAGTAGGAAGGGTTTGATGTGGGGCATGTTCATCCCAATTTGAAGGAGCTCCCGTAGGTTCCAGATAATTATTCCCTTTGCCTGCTGTGTTCTGAAGCTATCCGCGCCTAAACGGCGAAGATTCATGGCGCACGTTCTCGGTGGTCGTCCTCTCCCGTCTTCTCACAAATGAAATCTCTTTGATTTTTTTAAATGATTTTGCTTCGATCCTATTTATTTCACATCTACTTATCTTTGTTTGTGCTTTTCTGGTGTATCATCTTCCACTAATTTCCTTCGTAATTTCATTTTACTTTTTTTATTCTTCAGTTTTACCAAGCACCATAGTTCTTTTACGTTTTCATAAATTACTTAATTTCATTTTATAAATGTCCCATGTATTGCTATTTTCCCATTGGTTACACTTAAGTTGTTTCTTAAAAAATTTTACAGCTTAATGCATGTGGTACAAAATTCGGAATATCAACACTTTAGATTGTGCTCGTGTCATTTAGAGTCCGCTGTCCACTGATAAGTAACGAACGCTTTACATAGAGGTCTGCTACCGTAAAAGTATCCTGATTGATATATTTAACTACCGCTACCCGAAGTGAAATTACTGATCACGAAGATGAGTGTCTGTGTGGTCTTCAGCCCACAGGTCCATGGAGTGAGAGGGTTTATTGTCTGCACCGTCCTGGTGAGTAGCTGACGGAATGATAGTGACAAACAACTTTTGCCAACACTTCCAAATTTATTAAAATAATGATACTTGTTTTCAAGTCAGAAAAAAATTAGAAACATCCAATGACGAGGGGAAAAAAACCCAATGTTTGACAACTGTAATGACATTCCGTTGATACAAAATATTATTTGGAATATAGCAGTGGCTGGTGGAACGGTACCTTCCTCCTACCTGAGTCACTTGGGCCAGGTGGGGTCCAGGAAGGCATGTGGGCCAACATTTCACCCTGAGGAGAGTCTGAGCAGAACCTGGGGGTGCAGACCGGGTCTGAGTGGGGCACTGTCCCTCTGTCCTTAATGAGAAATGACACATCTAACTTGCTCTTTCCCTTCAGTGCGTAGAGTTCATCGATGCCTGTGTCTTCCACGGTTTCACTTTCTTCCTCATTCCCTCTTCTCACCTGCCCCCCCCACTTTGAGATCATCTGAGATTTTTGTTCCATAGTGCTATTAATTTTTTAATAAAATTCTGTATCGATAATTATTCGGATTTAATTCTGAGTTTGGTCTGGCTTCTTTACTCACTACTGTTTCATTTCCTTGGTATGTTTGTTTATTCCTCTTGCAGATAGTCTTTGATCTATTTTATTAGAAAGAGCTTGTAGATGGTGAGTTTCTGGACTCTTTGCCTGTCTTCGAATAATTTTTTTCCTAACATTTCAACCTGTTGCTCTAGGTATGGGATTTTAAGTTCAAAATCATCCTTCTTCTCATCTTCACGGTTTTATTCCCTTGTCTTCTACAACAATTCTGCAATCGAGAACTCCAGTACAACTGGAGTCTCTTTCCTTTGTAGCGGGCTATTGTATTTAGCAAGGGAAGACACATGCAGTGTTGGCTGTGCTTATCCTAAGCATTTATTTGTTATACTTCTGAAATTCAAATTTAACTAGGCATCTTAGATTTTTTCTGGTGACCCTACTTTATAGTTAACCTGTTTTTGTTGTTTTTTTCTCAAAGCCTCTAGGATCTATTCTTTACTTTCAATATTCTGAAATTTCATGAGACAGTGTCTGCATGTGGGAATCTTCCATTGCTCTGTGCAGCTGCCTCTGGCCCCTCTACCCCCAAAACTGTGTATCTTCAGTTTGGGGAACTTCTCTGTTGTTTGGTGACTTTCTCTCCTTAGTTCTCTCTGTCTTATCCCCGGCACTCTCACTAGATGTTATTTACGGATTCACACTCCCTGTTACTACCTAACTAACCTCCATCCAGTTAACTGACCTCTCTTAGCTTTGGTGCCTGTGTCTTGAGACCAGCTTTCGCAGAACCAATCTCACAGCAACGCCACGAGGAGTGAATTAATTGCAGGACACTATGCCCTTGGCACAGTGTTGCTCTGGGCACCCCGCAACGGTGCTTTCACGCAGCTGGAACATCCACAACTTCTGCCCACGTGGGTGTGTCAGGCCTGTGGCAAGATGGCACTTCCCGGCCACACGGGGCTGGGTGGGGCTGTGCGACTTGTTGTGGCTAATTAACTGTGAGATGTCCCACGTGTCCCTACTGGGCTGGCACATTTAGTTGCCGACGTAAGACCCACCAGAGCACTCTTACGCTCATCCACAGTGAAAGACAGAGTTCCAGGTGGCGTCTGCTCTGTCAGCGGATTCTGAGTGTGGGTGGTGCAGGACAGGGCACCTGTGACCTTCCATGGACATGTGGCATGAGTGAGAAGGACACCTTTGTTTTACGACGCTGAGATTTGGGGGATGTTTGTCACTGCAGCATAGCACGGCCCTCCTGACTAGCACACAGGGAAAGGCAGGATTCCCTCTCCCTCACTGCCCCGCGTAAATGCCGTGAGGGTCCTGTGATGCTCTGTAGCGAGCGTCGTAAGCTGCTGCCAGCCTCGCCCAGACAAAGAGGCAGAGTCCGTCCTTTATTGATCTTTTTATTGAATCTGGGGTTGGAAGGGCCCTTGCGTCTGAGTTGGTCCTGAGCTCTGATCAGTTTGCCAGGCTGAGGCTCAGCCCGGAGCTGGTGTTGACGGCACAGGCCATGGGGTCCACAAAGCCACAAATCAGAAGCTTCTTCTACTGATGATAGAGGAGCCCATGTCCTCGTACTCACTTCTGGTGACCCACAAGTCCTTGAACGTAGACAGCGAGCACAGGATGGAACCGCCCATCCAAGCGCCGTAGGCAGAATACTGGCAGGTGGACACCTGGATGGGGTTGAGGAGGCAGAGGCAGAGGGCAGAGGGCAGAGGAGAGTGGGGGAGGGGAGGGGAGGGAGGCACGGAGAGGGTTGGGGAGAGGGAAGAAACCAAGATCAAAATGCTACTCTAAACTGGGCCGGCAAAATGTCCACCCTGAGAGAACTTCATGGGCAGTTGCTTCCCCTCCTGGCAAACACAATTAGTTGCCGTTAGAGATGTCGAACAGTCCGCACCTACTTCCTGTGGCTTTAAACTAGCAGATAAAATGAACAGAAACACAGAGGATTCGACCCTTGGCATTCAAAAAAATATAACACATTTTATACATAGATAATGAATATGCATAAGGCATATGTATTTTGTAGAAAAGTTAGAAAACACAGCTAAGCAAAATCAATCAATGGCTGGTAATCAAATACCCTGGAGAAATTCCTCCTGCATTGTGTTGAGGAGCTTTGAAGACTTTCTCTCGCTTTTGCTTGGCTCTTCCTTTCATGCCAAAATCTACAAGTATATATTTCTTTCGGCTTCTATTCTAGGACAGAGAGCAGCGTTTCTCACACCAAGTCAGGTCACCTCTGGGCTGGGAGGAGGTGGAACTCTCCACACACATTTGTCCAGTGGGTGCACAGAAGCTCGGGGAGGTTAATGTCACTTGCTCAAGGTCAGACGGTTGTCATTCTCGCCTGTTCACTTGCTTTTCCTGAGGTGCTGGCATGTAATAGTAGAAAGTGTGCGTGATTCTGAGACGTGGGAAGGCAGACGCATCACTCGGTGGTCTGCAGGGACACAGCTCTGACCAGGATTTGGAAAACCTGAGCTCCAGGGGCAGGTGGGCGTGGGGCAGACAAATTCTCAGACACCTGGCCCAGGGCCCACGGGCTCCGTTGCACCACAGAACTGTGCTTGGCTTGGAAACTACTTGCTGGTATTGATTAAGAGACTTGTCACTACAATTTTAAGAAAAATAGAAAGGAAGAGTCAGAAGAGGGGGAAAGCACGTGTACGGTCAGCACTTCAGGTGGAGAAACAGCGGACACCAGGGGCCAGGAGCCTCTGTTCTAGCTTTTCTTCAAAATATGTTTTAAAGAAAAAGAAAAAGAACAACAAACATTTCCCCTCCATTTCTCAGGTTGGCGAAAGGGATTTAAAGATGCTGGCTCTGTTCCAGTGTGGATGGGCGTCCGGAGCCGTCTCGCCCCCACGGGGATGTGATGAGAGGCCAGATGTTTCCACGGGCAACCTGCCCCAATGTGCAAAAAGCCTCGCATTGTGCATGCGTTTCTGGCTCTGAAAATCCACATCTAGAAATGGATTCCAAGCGGGGAAAACTACTCTACAGAGATAAGAGGATATAATGGCCACAATTTTTGCTCAAGAACATTCATCACAGCATGGTTTAGGTTGTTGGGAGAAACGATTATTTGAAAAGTTGGCCCCATTGGAACGTGTTGTTCTCTCAAGGTGGATGGGCTCATCTGAGGGAGAGAAATCTTCCCTTCTCTAGGCGAACAATTTGATGAGCTTTATGGATGGTTACAGGTGGATCCACCTCCCTGCCCCTTCCAGAGATGGGTCGGACAGGAGAGAAAGTAGGCAGAGAAGAGCTAAATCACAACGAAGTTACAGGCCACGGTCGTTACCATCAAGCTTCATCTAAAGAAGGTTTTACTGGGGCAGGGCGGGGCGGTGGAGGGTGCCTTTGAGGACTCAGAAGGATGGAAGGGCTTGGACCAAAACATGCCCAGACACATGCTGGCAGGACAAAGATGGCCCAAGAGATCCCTTTGCAGTGTGGTCAAGAAACTTACAGAAGTAAGATACTCCGTTTTAATTTGTTTTCCATACTAGCCTAAGCAGTGGCCTTCCACTCCAATCTAGCAGAAGTTCATTATGCAGAAAAGCCTTACGAGACCTGGGGAGCTGAGAGGAGGAAGACCAGAAATGGGAGCTGAAGACTCGAGAGAGGGAGGACGGGAGGGGCGACAATGTTCTAACATTCTATAAATGCCTGTGGTATTAGGTAAGGTGATATTGTGAGGGCTGCAGCCTTAGGCAGGAAGGAAATGGATAATAGTTTCCCAGTATCGTGTGGATTTTTATGACATATATAAAGAGGGCTGAAGGCTTAGGGAGTGGGAAGCACTGGGAGAATGTTTTTGTGTGACACCAGCTGATGCGTTTGTCTTTCCGCAGGATTCCTGATTCTTCCCTGGGGCTCTGCAGCAAGGATCGTTGCTGTGTGCTCACTTTCAGATGTCACCCTGGTCTGCAAATGGAGTGGACACTGTAAGGAGTAGGAGGGAAGAATGCAGGGAACACTGCCAGACAGGTGGGGGGGTCTCAGCAGGTGCAGAGGGTACATCAAGGACGCACGCCAGAGAGTTCTCTCTGGGAGGGCCCTGCCTGCAGCGGACCTGAAACCCCAGGTGTGTCGAGGGTGGTGGGTGAAAGAATCCTCCTGAGAAGTCTGGGGTTCTGGGGGCAAAAGAGAGTGAGTCCACGCCTCCTGCCTCTGGACCCTGGAGGAAGGCGCCTCACAGAGTGTGTGTTCCAGAGCTGGGCGGCAGAAGCAGGGGGGACAATGGCAATGAGACAGGTCTAGAGACGGGGAGAGAAGCTCTCAGATGGCTGCTCCTCCCCCACCCCAGTGCGGGATGCACAGGACATCAAAGGACTCTGGCCGACAGGCCCGACGAGGCTGGGTCCATCTGGTCTCCCGTGAGCCTGCGGCAGCAGACCATGCCACAGAGCACCACACTATTGGTCAGCAGAGTTTGCAGCCAGCTCGAGGGCCGGCTGGTGAGACGGGAAGGATTCAGATCCGGCTAGACAAGGGACACCGTGCAGCTCCTGCCCCCGGAGAGCCAGCAGCAGCAGAGGCAAGCAGAGAGCAGGCCAGAGAAGGGGAACACATATAGGGCCCCCCAAGGAGCGAAGAACACTGTTAGAAGACACTGGGGCAGCTGCTGAGCCCAGCTGGGAGTGCGTGGGTGGCCCCGTCCCTCCTGCCCCCATCCAGCCACATCCAGACAAGTCCCGACCTGCCAGCCATGCTCCGCGTGGAGCCTAAGCTTTCCCCAGGGCCCACCTGCACTGTGTCCTCCACTGCTCAAACCTTCTGGTGGCCTCCAGCCCCCTGCAGGGGGAAAGCCTCACGCAGCTTCTCCGCCCACGCTCACGCCACCCAGCGGCCCTTCCTTGACCTTCCTCCAGGAACCCCCCCGGGCCCTGCACCGGCTGTTGCCCTGCCTGGACTTGCTTCCCTAGACACCCACCCCGCTCACCCTCACCTCAAGAACTTACCCACTGCCACCTCCTGGACAAGACCCACTCTGAGCACCCTGCACTGAGCACCCCAACCCTGCCCCCCTCCCTCCTTGGCTACACCTCCTCCGCAGCTCACACCCACTCCCATGTGGCCTCACTGCCACGTCATGCTCCCCTGTACTGCCTACTGCTTCTCCCGCAACTAGAACGAACGCCCCAAGGATTGTTGACCCTTTTGTTTACTGATGCTTCCCCACGCACCAGGAACCATGCCGAGCACATCCGAAGCATTCTAGAAATATCTGTGGAATGAACTCGGGAAGCCCCCGAGGAGGGGTTGGCAGAACCTTACCTTCACGGTGAGTTCAGGGGACACCAGGCCAGATAGTTCTCTCTGCATCCGGAAGCACAGGCCGGAGCAGGTGCCAGTCCCTCCAGACAATAGCATGTGGCTGAAGAGGACGTTCCAGAGGGTGGGCCTGCAGGAGGTGACACTCTGGAAGGCCATCCTGTGGATGCCAAGGGTGTTTTTCCCTGTTGGGACGGGCAGAGAGAGAAAGAACTTTGGAGGCCAGAGGCTGGCTGTGCCTGGCTCCTCCTTCCCCCTGAGGGTGCTGGGCTGCTGGGACCCTCCCACCCCCGGTCTCAGGTGGCTCCGATGTAGCGGGGCAGCGGGCACCGTTAGCACCGCGAGGCCCCTGGGGTTGCAACAAGGTAAGTGCGTGAACTGCCGGCCCCATTGCAGGACTCAACTGCTCGAGACTGAAGAAATAAATATCAATTCTCCTCTCTCATCCGAGAGAATTTATATTCCGATGTTACTGACAATTATTAATTTTTAACGCCTTGGTATCAGTTATTTTATGACAAGATTTCTGTAGAGGCAGCATCCTCGCCCAGGCGGCCTTTGAAAAACGATTCTGATTCATTTCCTTGAGTCAATTGACCACACAGATCAACTCAAGTATAAGAACAGCCCCTAAAAGACACAGGTGCGGTATGATTTCCTGTTCTACACTGCGCGCTTCGGGGAGGGGAGGTGGTGCCTGTCAGTGCCTCGATGTGCTCATCCCTGGGGAAAACCCGCCCAGTGACCCTAGACCACGGACTGAGGAGCTAATCGCAGGAGGCGTTGAGGACGGGTCAGCAGGAATGTCCTCGAGCGTTGGGGTTCTGGAGCTGGGCTCCCCTTCACTGGGTGAGCGAAGAACTTCCATTACTTCTCCATTCATCCACTTGATATCTTTGGTGCATGTGCCAGGTTTTTAAGACCACAGTGTCCCCTGCATAATCTGAGAGGGAAAACGAAGACCAACCCAGCTAACTCATACAAGTGTCACGTGCTTACCAGGTCCTCATCCTCAGGAAATGCCTCCTTCCCCAGGCTTAATTGCCCTTTGTCCCTTGTGAATGTAACAAATTATTATACTTTAAGAATTTGTTTCCAGGGAGTATTTGGTTTTCCATGACTTCCCGGCAGACGTCATCTTCCCAATGAATAGGGCTTCTATGGTCTGTCATTTTTCCTATTCTGCTGGAGAGTTCAGTCAACTCCACGTTCATTTAAAATCTCTGGATCAGCCACATTTTTAAAGCTCCCTCCCAATCTAGGGTTGTTACTTTCCTGTTTTAATTGTCTTAATTTTTATATTTCAAATTATTTTGTATGTAGGCAGAGTATAAACAGTACATTATGAGAGGGAAGACATGCAGTCCAGGGTGGTACTCAATCACACTTGAAAATGATTTACTACTCTTCAGTGAGTTTTCTCCTTTGCAAAAAGGGATACTACGAGATTTGGGGAAGGATCCAAGGATATAACTTACCTGCAGTGGTCAGAAAAGCAGCAGGCATACAGTAGGTTCTCAGTAAGTGGTGGCTGATATCAGAGAAGCTTTTGAAATGGGCGCCTATTTGCTGCTCAAACCAGACTCCGCGCCTGGCTGCCCTCGTCCCTTCTTGCTCACGGCTCAACCGCCCCGTCTGGGCTCATTTCTGTCCCCTCCCGCAGACTCACCTACGAGGTTCGTCTGGAAGAGCACCTCGGGGCAGAGGAAGCGCTCCTGCCCCAGGGTGATCTCCTGGCCGTCAGGCAGCTGGTACTTCTGTTGGCAGGAAGGCAAGTCAGTTTTCATCTTTTCCTTGTCGAAGTCCAAAGCCACATAGCAACACTTCTCCTTCACGTCCCTGATGCACTCGCGGCCAGCTGTGGGACACAGGAAAAGCACCAAGTAGGACAGGGTAGGAAGGAGCTGAGTTCTCCAGAGCTCCTCGCGGTCGGGACGGGATGGCACCGTGGCAGCTGCTGTTTCTACTTTTGTCTCACTGTCCAATTTCTCTTGATCTGGGCCGGGCGTGGAGGCCCAAGTTTGCGGGAGAAAACAGCAGAACGGGGGGTGTCCTGAACTGGGATGCGAGGGCTTAGACAGTCCAGCGTTTGTAAGCTGAAACGCTACCATACGTGGTGTGTGTTTTAGGGGCTGGACAGTCAGGCTCAACTGTCTTACCTGCTGACTGCTCACAGCTGCCCGCTGCTCTGGGGAATTGCCCATAGCCGATCAAAGCCCCTCGCCTGGAAATCTCTGGAAGGTTTTACCCCTCCCCTTTCTGGGTGGCTGACAACAGGTTTTAAACCTAGCTGTGTCTTTGGTGTTATAGTTTAACATTTTGCCTGCCACTGTTTTTGAGCGTGGACCAGAGGGAACTCCCGGCACTGCTCACCTGGAAATCCCACCTGCTCCCCAGCCCACTGACGGCTGGCTTCTACCTTCCTCTCTCCACCTAGCCTGCTCTCGCTGGGTCTGTTCTGTCCCCCGAGTTCCAAGACCCTGGGGACACTCTTCAGTCCTTTCCTGACCCCTTTCTCTCCAGCAACGGAGGCTGTTAATCACTCCCTTCCCTCTCCCTGGCTCTGGGATGCTACATTCCCTGAAAGTTTTCCTTTTTTCACCTAGTCGGGACTTTGGTGAGACAAATCTGGGTTCAAATCCCATCTCTGCCATTTACCAAATTCCTGGCTTTAGGCAACTCCATTATGCTCTTACACTTCCCTTTCCTCCTCTGCAAGAACAGGATTAATCATCACTCTCAGGTCTGTTACAAGAATGAGAGAAATAATGCACATATGATCTTGCTGAGTGTGAGGTGTCGATGATATGCTTTGACCTTGTCCCGATCAATCCTTCTCACCTTTCCTCTAATTGCTGTTATTCTTTAGGGTCCCAGTTTTGCTTGCTTTTGACACAGACCTCTTGCCTGGGAAGACCAAACAGCCAACACAGAATTATGGGCTTGTTGGGAAGGGGAGCCCCGCAGATTACACAGGCTGGGATCTAGTCCAGGAACCAGGTGAGAAGTGGGACAGGCATTGCCTCATCTGGCGCCGTTGGGTTCATGTCCCAGCTGCTAAATCTACTGCTTATGGGATGTTGGCCAAATCTCCTAACCTTTCTAAGCTTTTTTTTGCAATGGAAACAATTGTTTCTTCTCATAGGGTTATATCAAGAAGCAATGATAGAATATATGTGAAATGTTTACTTGGCCCAATGCCTTAATAGGGTAAGTTTTCTATAAAGCCTAGTTCATCATCATCATAACCATCACCATCACCATTACCATCATCACCACCACCATCATCATCATCATTACAGTCATCACCGTCACCACCATCATCATCGTTGCCCTTGTCATCAACCCACTAAATTTCCCTCTATATAGATAGAGTTGCTTTTAGAACTTGGATAAAAGTCAAGTAGCCCTAGATTTACACACTGAGGGCTGCAGGTTGGACAAGCAAAGAAGGATGTTACACCCCAGGGACTAGTGTACCTGGGCAAGAATGGTAATTTCCTACCTGTGCCCACCAAAAAGTGCTCATTGTCCGCCAAGAGTTGACAGAGGTATAAGGTTAGGTCTTGGCCGGCTACATCCACCTGGAAGGTTGACTGATGCAAAGGACAGCCATCAACGATGGGCACGAAGTACGTCATTCCTTCTCCAGATTCAATAGTCGTTCCTAGATAAGAGAACACGCTGGCGTCACAACGTAGGGTGAATGACACCCCTTATAAAGTGTTGGGTCTACAAGAAGAGAAGGCGGAGGAGGCAATACTTGGAGGAGAAGGCAAAGGGTCTCAGGAGCATTTTCTCCTCCAAGGGGAGTGTGCTAGGCTAGAAAAAAGGGCCAACTGTTTTGGACAGAAGCCTGCAGTTTTTCTTATTAAACCACGACACGTAGGAATTAGCAGTAGTTGCCAAAGAGGTGAAAGAAGAAGAAGAATCCCATGACCTTAACACTTCTTCCCTAAAGCACTCTGCATTGATGTGGACACTGGGATCCCCAGGCAGGCACCAAGTGTCTGGAGAGTCTGAGTGCAGGGGAGCAGGTGTGCGTTCTAGCTGGCAAGCCAAACTAGCTCTCTTTGTGCAGTCCCAAGGGTGTGGTGTAAGGGGAAGGCAGGGCCTCCCTTTGTGTAACACAGTAGCTTCTGGAGCCTTCCAGACTGAGTAGGAGTCCAGGGGGTTGGCTCCCTTCACCTGTTGAGTCTAACAACCCAGAACTGTGAGTTTAAATGAGGTCCCCCTGTGCGTCAAGAGGACTCCGCTCCCAGCTGAGATGCAGACTAGGGAGCATCCCCCTCCCACCTAAAACAAGGAAAAGAGAGGACGACATCTACCTTCAAGATACGGGACATGAGGCAACAACGCGCAGCCATCCCTGAGAGATGGGACGATACGAGAAAAGGAAACGGTAGGCCATTGTCGTTCACGACCATAGACACGAAACTCCAAACAAAATTTTAGCAAATGGAATCCAACAACATATAAAGAGGATAATACCTTATAACCAAATGGGTTTTGCTCCGGAACGCAAGGTTGCTTTACCACTCAAAAAACAATGTAATTCACCGTATTAAAGAAGTAAAAGAGAATCCATGTGATCATATCAACAGATGCAGAAAAAGTATTTGACAAAATCCAACATTCCTGATTCATAAAAAAAAAAAAAAACACTCTCAGCAAACTAAGAATACAAGATAACCTCCTCAAATTGATACAGGACATCTGTTAAAAACCTACAGCAACCATATTACCTAATGCTGAAGACCAAATGATCTCCAAGGTCAGGAACAAGACAAAAATGTCTGTTCTCACCTCCTCTATTCAATGTCATCATAAGGAGTCCAGCCAGTGCAACCAGGCAAGAAAAAACAATAAAGAGCATCCACTTTAGAAATAATGAAGAAAAATTTTCTTTATTTATAAAAAATACAATTGCCTAAGTAGTAAACTCCTTGAAATCTACAAAAAAATCTACCGCACTGATAAATGAGTTTAGAGTATCAGAATGTAATATCAATGTACAAAAATCAATTATATTTCTATGATAGCAATGAACAATCAGAAATTGAAATAAAAATACTATTTCCAATAGCATCAAAATGTAGGAAACAGAGATAAATCTTACAAAAGAGATGCAAGACCTGTGCACTGCAAACTATAAAACATTATCAAGAAAAATAAAGGAAGACCTAACAGATATACCACATTCATTGGTTGGAAGACTAAATATTTTCAAGATGTCAGTTCTCACCAAATCTATACATTCAAAACAATTTCAATCAAAACCCAAAGAAGTTTTTTTTTTTTAAGGAATTGACAGACTGATTTTAACATTCATATGGAAATGCAAAGGACCTAGAATGACCAAAACATTTTCAGAAACAGGAGACCAAAATGGTGGTAGCATTAACATTGCATTACTTCGAGACTTTCTATAAAGCTTCAATAATCAAGACACTGTGCCATGAACCTATAGACAAATAGATTAATGAAACAGGATAGTGAGCACAGAGATACACCTACTCAAATGGACAACTGATTTTCAAAAATGTGCAAAGGCAATTCCATGAAGAACAGATAGTCTTTTCAATAAATAGTGCGGGAACAATAGGACATCTTTCTCTTTACACACACACACATGCTCGTGTGCACACTTCATTTATACCTTATTGTATATACAAAAATTTATTCAAAATGGATCATAGAACTGAATATAAAACCAAAATCTATAAAACTCCTAGAAAAAAATGTAGCAGAAAGCCTTTTGGTTTGGCATATATTTCTTAAATATGCCAAAAGCATGATTCACACACAAAAAAACCAAATTGGTAAATGGGACATCATGGGAATTATAAGCTTCAGCTCTGCAAAACACACTGTGAGGAGAATGAAAACTGAAACCACAGACAGGGAGCAAATGTCTGCAAAATATACACCTGATAAAACACTTGTGTCCAGGATATAAAAAGAATCCTCAAAACACAAAGATGAACAACTCCATGAAAAATTGGGCAAGACACTAAAACAGATACTGCACTGTAGCAGGTCTAAGAATGGCAAACACACACATGAAAAATGTTCAGCATCATTGGCTGTTAGGGGAGCGCGAATCCAAACCACAATGAGATACAATGCACACCTGTTAGAATTTAGAATGGCTAAAATTAAACGACTGACCACACCAAGTGTTGGCAAATATGTGGAGGAACCAGAACGCTCCCACGTGGCTGGTGGGAATGCAGAATGGCATAACCACTTTGGCAACTAGTTTGGCAGATTTTTTAAAAAGTTAAACATACACTGATCCCATGATGCAGTCGTTTCTAGGTATTTATCCCAAAGAAATAAAATCATATATCTATGCAAAGACTTGTACTATACACGAGTATTCCTAGTAGCTTGTTTATAACAGCCCCATTCGCGGGTGAATAGGCAAAGCAGGATGCGCTCACACAGTGGAACACTACTCGGCAATAAAAAATGGACCATGGATACATACAGTGACACGGACAAATCTCCACATAATTATACTATGCCGAGTGAAAAAAAGAGACACGGAAAGAGTACACATTTTATGATTCTACTTACTCAGAATCCTAGCAAATGCACACTCATCTGTAGGGACAGAGTAGTGGCTGTCTGGGGACAGGCTGGTGGGGCAGAGTGTGGGGTTCGAGGGGAACTTTTAGGGGTGGTGGGTATGTTCACTATCTTGCTTGTGGTGAAGGGTTCATGAGCATATCCGTGTGTCAAAACTTATCAGATCGCCCACCTTAAACACGTGCAGTTTAGTGTATGTCAATTACGCCTCAATAAAGCTGTTAAGAAAAAAAATGAGTTCGACAAATTGTTAACATCTGTGAGTGAATTGTTCGACCCAGAGGAATAAAAAGGAAAGTGGCTGGGGAAGGAGCTGAAGAGTGTGGGTTCTGTGGTTCTTTCCTTCCTTTTATTACCCATCGGGTGGGAGTGGGCTCCTACTATACGAGGGGTGTCACCAGGCAGCGGGACGGGGAGGGTGTGGGCTGGAAAGAACAGGACTTGCACGGGGCCACTCACCGGAGGTTTGGCCAGAGGCGTACATAGACATGACTGCTTGGTTGGCTACATACAGGGCGGGTATGTTGAAGGTCTCAAACAGGATCTACGGAAAAACATTAGCAATCCCTGGCGGCCAGGCCGGCAGACAGAGGAGGGGGTGGGCTGCTCCCTAATCACCCAGGCAACAAGAGTCCCACCCGCCCCAGAGAGATCCAGACCACGGGCTCAGAAGCATGACCCTCCTCAAGCCAGCTCTGCCCTAACCGGCTCCGGGACACTTGCAGTTTCGCAGTCCGTAAAATGGGCTCGCACCCTTCCCAGCTACCTCCTAAGATGCTAGGTACACTTGGATTAGATTAGGGTATAACATGGTCTCGTAGACATTTTGTTCTCCTCGCTGAATGTGTGGTCCTTTCTGCCCTCAGGGTGGCGAGGAGACTTGACAAGAGTCTGACGTTTTGACTCGGGCTGATGTCCTTGTTCCATAATAACAGAAACAACTGCAGGTAACGGTGGTTGTGTGTTAGCTACATGCCAGACACCTCGTTTGCTCAAGAAATGTCTACTGGGCTGGGCGCGGTGGCTCATGCCTGTGATCCCAGCAGTTTGGGAGGCTGAGGTGGGAGGATCGCTTGAGCCCAGGAGTCCAAGGCTGCAGTGAGCTGCGATTGCACCACTGCACTCCAGCCTGGACAGCAGAGTGAGTAAGTAAGTAAATAAATAAATAGTAAATGAATAAATAAATTTAAAAAAAGAAGTATCTACTGGATGCCAACTGTATACCAGGGCAGAGGAGTGAACAGGCGAGACACAACCTGGCTTTCCTGCCCATGGCGAACCCTCCCACGTTTGTGCTATTTTCCCCTTTGGCTGCCGGCCTCCAGGCACGCAGTGAGTCTATATGGCTGCCTGGGTGAGCGAATGACTGGCTTGCAAGACGGAGGAGCTGCGTTCTGCAGGATTTGCAGATTCTTTCGATGGCGCGACCCAACACGTTGTCACTGGGACAGGTAAAGGGCAGGACTGTTGTGTACAGCTCTGGGCAAGGGAGGCTGCCAGGCAGCACCACTCATGGGTTTGCTCCGGGAACTGTGTTGGGCAGCTCGGGTGTGGCCAGCAGGGGTGGGTTAGGTTGGTTTTGGGGGCTCCCTGTGGACTTTCTCGTTTGAATCATTTCATGGGCTCCCGGGGCACAGAGGCTGTCCTTGGTTGTCCTGTACCTGGCCCTAGGACGATTAGGGCAGGTGCACGGTGCCCTGGAAGTGGTGAGAGCTCAATGGAGTGTGGGCTTAACCAGCTGCTCAGGAAGGGGACTGACCTGCCTCCAGCCAGGGCCTGAGAACTGGTCCAAGACAGCGTTTTTACAAAACAACATTACACATGGTTGGTTACACCACTGAGCACGCTACTCGTAACACGCATTGCTAGACCTACTTCCAGGGGGTGGCATTCCGGGTGGGCTTGGGCATTTACCCAGAGAAATGAAAATGCACGTCCATACTAAGACTAGCTCACACTCATTCATGGTAGCTGTATTTGCGAGAGCCCCGCACCGGACACCACACGGCGTGTGTGCACAGGTGGACCAACACTCAGGGAAACGAGGGGAGGCTCCAGGGGCACAAAGCACTGCCAGACAGCACGGGCGGGTGGCCCACGTCACAGCATCTCTGAGTCTGCGCCTCTCCCGGGTGCCCCTGGAATTTGGATCCCAGTGGAGGAGGGGGCATGACTTCTAGGTGAGCGGGCAGGTTTTGTGACCGAATCAGAGATCCGTCCCCTTAAAAAACACAAAGACAAGAGCCAGCCTCAACTCCCACTGGCCTGCTGAGGGAGCGGCCAGAAAGTCACAGAACTCGGAAGAGTCTTCAGGGTTCCTGTGGTCCAACTCCCATTTCAAAGATGAGAACACTGAGGCCTGGGAACAGTAAGGGATAGCATTTGCTAGATGCTCCCTATGTCCTAAGCACTCTTGCAAGTTAAGACCGCTATTAACGCACTTTGTCCTCACCACAACCACCAAGGAGGTACAGTCGTTATCCTTCTCATGAGGAAACCGAGGCACAGCAAGGAACAGTCATCCACCGGAGGTCACACGTGCTGGCAGAGCCAAGGCCAGAACCCTGGGTCCTAATGCCAGGCCAGGCCTTCCCTGTACTCTGGGCCGCTCGCAGCGGTGGCGTCTCTCCTGGAACAGGGCACCCCAATCCTGCTATGATGCAGCCTGATTCCAGGGAGGAAACTGGCCCTGCACCCCTCAGTCTGCTCAAGGTCCTGGCGGAGCCCTGGTGGTTGGGCAGGGAAGGGAGGCCTGCTGGGAGGGCACGCAGGATGGGGAGGTCAAGGCAGGGCCACAGGCACAAGAATGCCCCTGTTCCCGCTGCGAGGTGGCCTTCCTTCTGCACGGTGCAGGTAGCTGGCTGTCCCCTTTGCCTGCAGAAGCCCCTCCTTTCTCAAGGCTGTCTGCCCTGGGATCCAGGTGCACAGGCCGCCCGTGGGGTCTGGCTGCAGGGGCCGCAGAAGCAGATCCAGGGAGGGGGGAGAGGGAGGGGTGCTCATGTCCCTGCTGCCTCCCTGCCAGGCCCTTCTTCTGAAGCCACAGCGCCTGGGCCTGGGTGACAGCCCCTCCTCTGGCTGGTCACCACCTGCTGCTCTGTGAGGCTTAGGGCTGGCACCAGCTCCCCGCAAGAGGCCCAGTGCACTGCACCTTCTCCTGTCGCTTTTTCTAAACGCTCACCTTTGTGTGTAGTCTCTTTATTAAACTCCCACCAGAATTGCCACGTGAGTGTACTTTGGTTTCCTGCTGGGACCCTGATACAATTAGGGGGTGGATTTGGAGAGAAGCAGGGCAGAGAGGCAAGCAGGGGGCCTGCAGGGAGGCGGGGAAGCGCCGGGGACAGGCTGGGTGGTTTGCATAGTGGTTAATTTCATGCATCAACTTGACTGGGCCGCGGGGTGCCCGGATACTTGGTCAGGCATTACTCCGGGTGTGCCTGTGGGGGTGTTCCTGGACGAGACTAACGTTTGAATCAGCGGACTGAGCAAAACGATGCCCTCCCCAGCGTGGCGGGGGGGCTCGTCCACTCAGTCAAAGGCCCGACTACAGCAGACAGAAGACCAGTGAGAGGGACTCCTCTCACTTGAGCCGAGAAGTGAACCTTTTCCTGCCTTCAGACTCGGACGGAAATGTCAGCTCTCCGGGTCTCCAGCTCGCTGCGGAGCTCGGGCTCTGCAATTGCGTGAGCCAGTTCCTCGCGATGAATCCCTTTCTCTGTATCTATTCATGCCCCAGTGCTGTTTTTCGGGAGAACCCTGACGGGGTGAGGGTCCCTTGTCCTCACTCATCCTGCTCAGCTCACCAAGGCCTCATGGGCACTCAGGGCTCTCAGAGCGGAGCCTGCTGTGCGCCGGGGTGGCCTGGCTGTGCTCCACCTCTGCCGTCTACCTGCACGCGCAGGAGGATCCGTCGCCCGCTCGGGCTCGGTCTCACGGGAGGCGGCGGCTCACGCCTGCGCTGTGATGGACACTCAGGGCTGCCGTTTCTGGGCCATGACGTGGGCCTCTGCTGAGAGCAGGTGGTACCCCGAGCCCTGGGCCTGCCCCTGGGGTCACTGCTCACTGCGGGAGACACTGCGGGGCTGCAGGGGCTCTGGGCCAGGTGGTCGAACCTTGCTGTTTGCTTAATTAGCTCATCGACGTCCTCATTAGGAACAGCCTGATGACGCAACGGGAACTCGGGCGGCCAGCGGCGGCTCCCGCAGCACCACCCCGCACCTGGCCGCCGCTGCAGCCCCGAGGAGGACCCCGCACGCTCTTTTCTTCACTTGTCTGGACAGGCTCTGCCATCCAGTTCGATCCGGGGCAACCCAGTCACACACACCCCACCTCCCTCCTGATGGGCAGGCCCAGGGCCAGGCTCAGAGAAGAGACACGGGAGCTTTAAATCAGATTCAGACGTCCACGGAGGACGTGCAGCAGGACAGTGGCTGGGAATAGAGCCGCAGAGCCGGACCTCAGGGGCTAGGCCAGTCTACCAGGGGCTCGCCCTGTGACCTTAGCCAGCCCACTTAAGCTGCTCCAACCTCTGCCCCTGCACAGAGGGCTAATAGTCACCCCGCCCGTAGGAGCCCGGTCATCAGGTCTAAGTGGAAATATTTGCAGCAATGCCCAGCCAGCACCCGACCCCCGGCGAACTCCCCAGCGGTGGCCGACATCCTTGGCATGAATGCCAAAGGGACGCCTCTCATCTTCATCTTCACCTTGCTGAGCAGAGAGAAGGTGGGCCCCGGAGGTGGCCGACACTGATGCTCAGGGGAGACCAGAAGCCGACCTCCCTCCTCCCCAGCCCGCCACCTCCCTGTACCTGCGTCACTTTCCCTTTGTTGGATGCGGCATTTAGAGGCGGCTCTGTCACCATCACAGGGTGCTGCTCCGGGGCGACGCGGAGCACCTGGTAGAAGGAGTGGTGCCAGATCTGGGAGGAGAGAGGGATGCGCAGTGAGCGGGTCCCAGGGCACCGTGGCCTTCTACAAATGGACAGGGTTTGATGTTACATCATTTATTTGACAAAGCGATATTTGGACAGCATTCGCAACCGCCGAGTCACAGCTGGGGCAGCCCTGACCAGAGGAAGCCGCTGGGAAGGCAGAGCGTGATTTTGGACAAGACACGTGACCAGCGTTTGTGCTCCAGGCCTGGAGTCGGGAAGTGGGGCCGACAGAGACGGGCCCAGTGCTTTTCAGAGTCTCTCGTGGTCTGATGGGGGGATTGACACGACCACCAGACCGCAGGGGTGAGCCAGGGGACCCCGGCAGGATTGGGAGTGGCCCAGGGATGAGGCCCCTGTGTGCGGCTCCACCACCTGCCAGCTGCAGCCCTGGACACGCAGTTCGACCTGTGTGAATCTACTTCCTCTTCTTTAAGATGGGAGATAGCCCCTGCCTCACGGGGGGTGTGAGGATTAAATGCCGTGACATCTGTAGAAAGCCTAGCGCGTGTGTTTCCTGTGGCTGCCGTGACAGCATCGCAGGCGGCTCCAACAGCACGAGCTCATTGTCTCGCAGTCTGGAGGCCGCAAGCCTGAGATGGAGGCATTGCAGCGGCCGCTCTGTGTGGCTTGCAGACGGCTGTCTCCTCCCGGCGTCCTCGCATGGACATCTTGGTCCCTGGCACCTCAGAACGTGACCTCATTTGGGAATGGGGTTGTTGCAGATGTCATTAGCAGCAAGGGGCGTACAGTGGGGCAGAGTGAGTCCCTAATCCAATCCTTATCAAGAGGGCAAATGTGCACGCAGAGGAGACGCTGTCTGAAGACGGAGGCGGGGATCAGGGTGCAGCATCTGCCAGCCGAGGAACAGTGAAGATTGACAGCAAACACTGGAAACTAGGAGAGAGGCCGGGCACAGACGTCCCCCAGCCCTAGAAAGAACCAACCCTGCTGATGTCCTGGACGTCCAGCCTCCAGGAGTGTGAGGAAACAAGTGTCTGCTGTGTAAGCCGCCCAGCCTGCGGTCCTCTGTTACGGCGGCCCCAGGACAAGGACGTGGTAACTTATGTGGACACCCTCAAGGCAGTGCACGGCCCGTCCACATACACGGAGGCCTCCTCAGAGCCGTCTGTTACTGAGAGAGGCTCAAATGTGTCACTGCTTACTATTTGGGACTAAGGACTCATTAACCGTCATCCCCCTTAACCCCCATGACAGTGCATGTGGGAGGAACCATGGTACCTGTCTTGTAGCTCGACACACCTGGGGAGGGCCTGCGAGCAGGTCCCTCCCCGCAGAAGCTGGGCCTACCTTTTCCATGTTGTCCCAGTTAGTGACAGTTGCCCGAGAAATGGGGTATTGCAGGTTGAGCTTCTCTCGTTCCTTCTGAACCTCATCCCCGATGAAGCAGTCCTCCTCCTCCATACCCACCAGCACCTTCTGAAAAACACAGGCCGGGACAGGTCCACGCTTAGGAGTGGATGGAGGTGGGGCTGGACTCGCCTGCACGCAGCCTTCGTCCGTGGGCGCACAGTGAGCGGTGGCTGGCGGGCCGTGGTGGCCGTGGGGAGGCTCCCGTCGCAGTGTGGGCACCTACGACTCCTCGAAGCCCACGCGCGATTTCCCAAATGGCCGTAAGAGGCTTCAGCGCGTTGCCTGCGAGGTGGGCGTGCCTCTGAGGACTCACGGCTGGGACACTCAGCTCGCCCACTTTGCGGATGGGGAAACCGAGGGCGGCGGGGGAGCGGGGAGCGGCTGTTGAGGAAGGAGAGGTGTGGAGAGAGGCACCGTCTCCCGTGTCTGCCTCGGAGGGTTGACTGGGAAAGGGTCTGCAACGTAATCAGTTTCTGTTATCTTTCACGAAGACACACCCGGCTACTTTCGTGGCAGATTAAACTGCTCATTCTGTCACGAGAGGGAATTTGCCGGTTGGCTCGTGTGTCACTCTGGGTCCCTGAGAAACAGACACCAGCCGGGATGAAGGTGCGCGGGTGTTGTTAGGGAAGGGGCGACGTGGGAAGGGTGGGAAGGCCGCCGGACGCGGCCAGCAGAGCTGCCGGGCTGCCGCCCAATCCCGAGCCTGGGCGCAGGAGCGAGGGAGGCGGGTTGGGGCTGTCCCCGGCCACCATGTGGTCTAAGGAAGGTGCCAGCTGCTGAGGTGCACCATGGAGCGGTGCGGTCAGAGCAAGGCCGGCTCTGGAGGTGGCCATGGTGCCACCCAGACCGTTCCTGCCTTAGGAGTTTGTCTTTTTGGCAGAAGAGATTTGGACTTGGGGCGAGAAGCACTAACCGTGAGAGCCCGGGCCAGTCGCCTCCCCTCCTTCTCTGACAGTGACCGCTCCTTGTCCCTGGCCACAGCGCTGCTGGGGATCACATGAAATGAGACGACTGACAAGGACACATTTCATAAACTCAAGGACACGGTGACGTGAAGGAGCGTCATCGCTGCCACCACCCCTGACGTTTCTCAGCCACCCAAATCTGAATGCGAGTGGCTGGGGGACAGAGGCCAATTTCAAGGGTGCGGAGGCAGCAAAGTTATCCCGGGTTGAAGTTGCTGCTTGAAATGGTGAGATGAACAGTTCTCGGCGTGATGTCCTGTTGCTGGGCACCCGTGGGTCAGAGTGGCTGCTCTGCCGAGAAGGGACAGAGTGACTCAGGGCAAAGCATTCACCACCCCCACGGGGGCCTCACTGCCATCCTGGCTGCTGGACTGAAGCCCTGGACAGGGCGTGAGTAGAGCCCCGAGGGACATCCTGGGTCCCCACACCTGGTACGCACTGACTCGGGAAGTTAAGGCACTGCACTGAGCATGGGGAGGGGGCGTGGAGCTTAGGTTTGGAACAAAATGTGACCTCTCTCAGAGACAGGAACTTACTCCCAGGGGCCGGTCCCCAAGTCCATGAGGCTGGCAGGCAAGTGTCTCATGGAAAACCAAACCCAACTGAGAGCCCAATCTGTGTGGTTCAGCTAGACGGTTTGCTGTTCTTATAATTGATCTTGGTCACTCATTTTATTCTGGTGAAGAATTTGATTTTTCTTGTGCTGTCATCTTGTGTTTCACCATTCAGGTGACCTGTTGTATACAAGCTCTGCTTCCTGTGTGCCACTTTGGGTACAGTTAATATGTATATTTTCTTTCCCCCGGGGCTATGGAATGTTTTCATAGTACAGCCCATATTAAGTTTTGACATTGCAACAAATGACTGTGACCATCAGGAAAAGAGATGCCACATTCCGGACAGAGGGGTTGAACTCAGGGAGTTGCTCCCAGCGTTGGGAGTTTGAAAGGGCACGCAAGGCGGCAAGGCGGCAAGGCGGGCTGCGGCAAGCCAGAGAGAGCACCGCAGGCAGCAGCCCCCCGCGGGGGTGGGGAACCCAGAGGTCCGGGGCTGTAGACCAAGGAGCTCTGAGGGGGACACAGAGCTGAGAGGGGGGTCTGCTGCAGGGCCTGTGGGGATAGAGCTGGAGTCTGCGTGGGAGGAGCAGGAGCTCAGGATGGAAGGTTCTGCTCCCTTCCACCCCACCCCACTCCCCCACCCTCCCCCCGGCCACCTCTAGTGCCTGCTACTACTGACAACATCTAATGGGAAGGGGTTGAAAAGGGAGCCTGGGAGTTGTCAGCCTCAGCAAGCCCGAGCAGAGCAGCACGGCGGGGATCGAGGTGGAGCTGAGGGACAGTGGGTGGGAACCAGCTGTGGGGGTTGAATGGTAGCCCCCAAAATGATGTGTCCCAGTCCTAACCCCAGCCCCGGGGAATGTGACCCTCACTGGAGAAAGGGTCTTTGCAGGTGTGATTCAGTGAAGGATTTTTGGTACTTAGGGTGGGCCTGACATCCAATGACAAGCGTCCTAAGAGAGAGGCAGAGGGAGATTGGAGACCGACAGGGAAAAGCAGAGAAGGCCGTGTGAAGACAACGCAGAGGTCGCAGTGATGTGAGCACAAGGCAAGGGATGCCTGGAGCCACCAGAGCCGGAAGAGGCAGGAAGGGTCCTGCCCTAGACCCTTCGGAGGGAGCGTGGCCCTGCCGACAGCTGGATTTCAGACCTGCGGCCTCCACAACCGTGGGAGAATAAATGTCTGCTGTCTTAAACCACCGCATAGCAGCATTTGCTGCGGCAGTCCCAGGACACTGACACGCCAGCACAGATAAAACTGGGAGACGTCGCCCCGGCCACCCCTTCCCCGCCAAACTGTGGGATTAAGCCCCAAACAGGGGGTGGGACTGGTGCAAAGTGAACTCGTTTCTGTCCTATCGGGGTTGGGACAGAGTCCTGAAAGGAGAAACATAGGTTCAAAAAGAGCCAATAACCGAGGAGGAACAGACGCCTCCGTGCTGAAACTCGAGGGGCATAGCGGGCTGCGGGCCTTGGGCTGAGCTCCTGCCTCTGGGAGACACGGCGGGGAGGAAGGCAGGGCCGACAGAAGGAACATTCTGCTCTCTTCTGATGCCACCAGCCTGAAGTTGTCCTGGGTAAGGTTAAGTCTGTCTGTTGTGAGTCGCAGGTGCCTGGAGAGATTTCGGGACACTCCCGGGCAAGGCGCCTGGTCTCGCACACAGCAAAGGCCTGTGGGTGGAGAAAGCCACGCACTCTGCCAAGCCCTCACGCTGCTCCGAGGCTCTGGAGGCTCTGTGGGACTGGAAGCCGTGGCTGTCACTAGCCACAAAGGCTTTGTTTGTGGAGTTTGGGGTGGTTCTTCTGAAGCTCAGTTTTAGCTGGAACTGTTGACACACCAAACTGGCTCCCTGGGTGTGGCCTGGACCCATCTCCAGCACCTGCCTCCTCCCGGCCCTCGGCCCTGCCTCTTCCTGGCTCCAGGCAGAACCCACAGGGTGAGCCCACCTGCCCCTGGGCCACCTGGCTGGGGGACGAGGAGGAGCCACAGAGTGAGGGAATGGCCAGTGTCCAGGGAAGAGCCCCATCACGTGCTGGGGTTCAAACAGGGCAAAACCCACACCCTGTTTTCCCTAAAGAGAGCATGCCTTTTACAAGTGCTTAAGAAACGTTATTAACTGTGTCCCCAAAAAGTCATGCATTGAAGCCCTAACCCTCAGTACCTTGGAATGTGACTGTATTTGGAAATAGGGCCTTTAAAGAGGCAATTAAGTTAAAGTGAGGTCACTAGGGTGGGCCCCAAAACAATAGGACTGGGGTCCTTATCAGAAGAGATTAAGATAGGAACACACAGAGAGGGACGACACCGTGAGGACACAGGGAGGAGGCGGCCGTCTGCAAGCCAAGGAAAGAGGCCTCGGAAGGAACCCGCCAACCCGCTGATCTTGGCCTTCCAGCCCCCACAATGGTGAGAAGACGCATTTCTGTTGTTTCAGCTGCCGGGTCAGTGGCACTTTGTTACGCGGCCCTAACAAACTCATACAAAACAAGAGAATAAGAGGTTTGTAGGATCCACAGTCCAGGTCCCTTTCAGTGGCATTCTCACGATAAGGACCCGGCTCGTGTGGGCCCTGGGTCTTGGCCTTGTACTGCAGGGCGAGCAAACCATAGCCCACAGGCCAAGTCCTCACCTTTGTACACAGCCCAGGATGTAAGAATGGTTTTTACATTTGTAATGGGTTGGGAAAAAAGATCAAAAGAAAAATCCTATTTTGTTATACTTAAAAGTTAAATGAGTTCAAATGTCAAAGTTCTTGAACTAAAGTTCGATTAGAACACAGCCACATTGATTTGTTCATGTGATGGTCAAGTTTGTGTGCCAGCTTGGCTGGGCCCTGGCACGGAGTCGTTTGGCCAAACATCAGCCTCGATGTGTCTGCGAAGGTATTTTTCTTTTCTAGCTGTGATTAACATTTGAATCGGCTGACTCTGAGTGGAGCAGATGCCCTACATAATGTGGTGGGCCTCGTGCAATCAGCCAAAGGCCTTAGAGACAAGACTGAGGTCCCACAGGGAGGGAGGAATCCGGCATCAGTCTTCCTGCGGCTCCTGCCTGCCTGCTGGGCCGATTTTGGACTTGCAGCCTCCACAATCACATGAGCCAATCTCTTAAAATAAATCTCCCTTTCCATAGACACACATATCACACAGGTTCTGTTTCTCTGGAGAACCCCAACTGTAGGGACCATCCCTGGGCAAAATTGGCTTAAGCCCAGAGTCAGCGAAACTGGATGTGCTCTCCTTGGCGCCAGAGGTCAATAGGCCCGGGCACGGCCTGTTGACCAAACAGAACTATTCCTCATGACAGATAGCTTTATGACAGGCACGGCCTGTTGACCAAACAGAACTATTCCTCATGACAGATAGCTTTATGACAGATAACCAAGCGCCTGGGGTCTTGCAAACAAGCCAAGGCGACTCATTGTCCTGCATACGGTAATGAGATAAAGAAGTTAAGACAAAAACATCTGCTTCCATTGAGCAATCGTCTGGAAGGAATGAAAATGTGTTTTCCTCAAGGCGCCCAAGGTAGTCACGTACCAGGAAGTAGCTGCCAGACAGAGAAAAAGTATATAAATAAAACGACTGGTGGAATCGACCGCTGCAGTCTTGTACGTCTTGTGTGTGTCTGTGTGTTTCTTTCTGTGTCCATCCCCCGTTCTGCAATCCAGGCCGCGACACCGACAAATACACGTAGTGTCCCCAGCTGCTTTCGTGGGACAACAGCAGGGTTCAGTAGCTGCAACAGAGACCATGTGGCCTGCAGAACTGATGACCGGTACACTTGGGTCTTTAACAGAAACAGTTTGCAGAGTGACTTAAAGGCCACTCGAGGCGGGAATCCGGGGCTGACATTGTGAGCCCTGGCTTCCCTAGCTGTCCCCTCTGCAGGTGTCCCACCTCCTCTGGGCCTCGGCCTCCTTCCTCACCTGCAAAGTGGCCTTAGGTGTGGGCTCCAGAGCCGCAGTCAGCGACGCTGATCCATCAAAATGGATGCATCAAAATGACCTGGAAAGCTCATTCAACTTGCTGCCCGACCCTGCCCCACAGCAGAGACCACCGCTTGGCGGGCCCAGGGTGGGGCCAGGACCACGTGTTGTTAAAGTTCCACAGTGATCCGCGCCCCCATGTCTTACAGTCCGTGTCTCAGTCTCTATGCCCAGTGGCAGCACTGACCCTCCTTCCAGAGAATGGCCTGGCCAGCAGACGCCCTCTGGGCTGGCCGAGGCCTGTGCGGGGTGGATTTCGAGAGAGGAGAGGGCGTCACCCTCAGCAAGGCCCCTGCACGCACGCTTCGTAAGTGAACTCATGCTCCGGGAAGAGACAGGCCCTGGGGGAGGGCGAGAGCTGAGATGAAGTTCCTCATGTGACTGCAGTGGCTGGTTGGTGGCCTCCCAAATGCTGTGTCCACCTGGACTCTCCTATTTGGATAAACAGTCTTTGAACACGTGATTAAGTTAAGACTCTTTAGATGAGAGCATCTTGGCTTACCCAGGTGGGCCTAAATTCAAGGCAGGTGTCCTTATAGGAGAGCAGCCGAGGGAGATTAGAGACAGAAGGAAAAGAGAGGGTCACGTGAAGACAGCAGCAGCCAAGGAAGGACTGGGGCCCTGGGCGCTGGAAGAGGCAGGAAGCACCCTGCCCTGGAGCCTTCGGAGGGAGTGTGGACCTGCTGACACCTAGACTTCTAGTCTCCAGCACTGTGAGGGGACACATTTCTGTTGTTATAGACCACCTGGTTTGTCTTCATTTGCTACGGCAGCCCCAGGAAATTAACGTATGTGTCACTGTCATCATCATCGCCATCATTTTCATAATTGTTAAACACTCCCTATGGGCTGGAAACTGTTCTAAACATCCATTCGCCATCTCATTTAACCTTCCAGCCAAATCTATGAGATAATATACTTAGTTAGTCCCATCATGCAAAAGAGACACCTTTGCCATGAGGCACGCTTGCCCAGAGTCATGTGCGTCTACGTGGCAGCACTGATACTGGAACCTGGGTCTCCCTGGACCAATAGCCCAGCTCTTAACCACCAAGGCCTGCGGTCTCCAAGCAACAAGCTGGTCAGCTAGCCTGGGCACAGGCACCTGCTAGGGCCGTCCCAGCTACAATCCCTGCCACTCAGACAATGAGGAAGACATGGGCTGGCTCCCAAAGATCCTTGTGCAGTTTATCCACTTAGAGAGGGAGATAGGGATTGTCACCTTCTGTCACAGGCCTGGGTGTCAGGCCTCAGGTACAGATGGCAGTTTAACCTGGGTCATTAGAAACATGCCGGTAATTTGCTCCAAGTTCTTCAAAGCCCAGGAGTGATCACCATGGAATCGTGTGACATTGAGACCCCCCATGTCACCACGCTGTTCCCTGTCACAGATGAGTACGACTTCCCAGGAAGGGCTCCATGATCTGGAGCGTGGGCGGTGAGCTCTGGCCCCCTCGGCAGATCGGGAGACTCACCGCTCGGAGCTGGTGGCTGCTATTCCGGGAGAAGGCGCCACAGTACCTCCCCGGAGGTGCTAACTTGTCCCGCTACGGCTACTATGTGAGGGTGTTGCCAGGAGCTGGGGAGGGGGGCGGGGAGCTAGTGCCTAATGGAGACTGAGCTTCAGTTTGGGAAGATGGAATGTTCTGGATGGTGGTGATGGTTACACAACAATATGAATATACTTAACGCCTCTGAACTGTGCACCCAACAATGGTTAAGATGGTAAACTTTACGTTATGTGCATTTTGCCACAATAAAAACAATCTGAATTTTTAAATTCTCTTGAAAAACAGGAAGATCTGACCACATTGGGTCCACTCACCTGCATGTCAGCACCTGCCCTCTTGGGCCAGGCATGTGCCCCAGTCCCCAACCCTCCCTATCGTCTTGCTGTCACAGAGGCAGAGTGTCAGTTGCCACTGAGTTCTAATGGATTCTGTTTATCTGAAAGGCGGACTTCTACTTCTCTGTGTCCACACCACTCTGAAAAGTGGGAAGAGCAGAAGGTCATCGATGGGCAGTATGATTTATTATTCACAACCAGCCCACTTTACGGACTTATGTAACAGCCTGCTCCAGCTAAGTCAGCGGTTCTCAAAGTGGCACACCCAGGAGTGGTTAGAAATGCAGAGTCCTTGGCCCACCCAGACCTGCCGAAGCAGACCCTCTGGTGGGCCTGGCCACCTGTGTGTCACCAAGCCAGGCACCCCGGTGACCCGGACGCACACTCATACTGGCCACCTGCTCCCATGGCCAGCCCTGTGACCTGCCCTGTCGGGGGGAGGGGCTGAGCAGCACCAGCACCCCCCACGTCACTCACGTCGTGCCGAAGTTTCCCGAGGACGGTTGGGAACACGCCCAGGGGGGCATCCATTCCTGCAAACCCCACCTTGCTGAAGCCTGAGCCATAGTCACAGATGAGGGGCACACGGTCCATCCCGCTGCGTGCCACCTGGAGGAGGCTGTGGAGAGACCACACAGTTATTCATGCCATTGGCAGGGCACTGGCCCTCGGAGTGAGCATTATGCCAGGCGCCAAGCTTGGGGCTCCCAGGGTGGGCAGGTCTAGGGCAGTGTGGGTGGCTTCCCCATACCCCGAGCTGGGCCCTGTTGGTGGGTTGCAGGGGGAGCCACTCTCTGGATTCTGTGGGCAGGTCGCTGGAAGAGGGCGCTTTCCAACAACCATTTGCACATGGCGGCCTTGGAGAAGGGAGGCCATGCGGGGGGAATCCTGGGCTAAGGCTTTTGCCTCCACATGTTTCTGGCAAGCTCCGTGTCTGGCTTCATGGGTGGTCATCTGAATCTGAGGTAGCCCCTTCCCATCCATCGAGGGAGGGGCTTTGGGCAGGGGCCGGCAGGAGATCCCCGTAGAGCTGGGGCCCTGGTGGTCTGCACGCTTGTGGGAGCAGCCAGTGCCCCTATTCCCAGCGCTGAGCCCACCTGGGGGGCTCCACTGTCCCCCCGCCCTGAGCGAAATCCATCTCCCTCTGCTTTGCTTCTACAGAACTTTTCCCTACTTTTGCAAGTTTGGGAAACATGGGAAAATATAAAGAGTATCACAATTGCCCACAGCCCCCGATGGCTGTCCCTGTGACATTTTGGTATCTCTATTTCCAACCTATTTTGATGCACTATAGAGATTTTTAAAAAATCAATTACCCTCAAAATGAATGAGTCCATTTTCTCTTTTGAATATTGTGTTTTAATTAAATCTTTACCGTGACAAGTGTTTTCTTCATTTTAAAAGCAACTTTTAGTCCTCTGGACAGAGAAAGAATTTGGTTGGCTCTACATGTTCGTTGCAGAAAATAAAACTATGAGGAAAAACAGAATCCTTCCCAAATCCTACAATCATAGATGGCCTTTGTTATGTTTGGGCGTTTACCCTTCCAGCCCACACAGACAGCAGAGGCGTCCCTATTTACACAGCGCCTCTGTGAACAGCTGTGTATGGCACAATTCTAGGAGGAGCCAAGGTGTAGTGTTGCTGTGTTTATCACGTGCACACATTATATATATCACATACAATATATGTAGTACTTACAGTTTTGTATTAGACTTTTCAGTTGAGCCTTATAGACATTCTCATGTTATTAAGTATTGTGTGGAAGCATTCTTTTTTTTAGAGACAGGGTCTCACTCTGTCACCCAGGCTGGTGTGATCCCAGCTCACTGCAGCCTCAAACTCCTGGGTTCAAGCAATCCTCCTGCCTCAGCCTCCCGAGTAGCTGGGACTACAGAAGAGTGCTACCGCGCCTGGCTATATTTTTTCTATTTTTAGTATAGATGGGGTCTTGCTCTTGCTTAGGCTGGTTTCAAACTCCTGACCTCAAGAGATCCTCCCACCTCGACCTCCCAGAGTGCTAGGATTACAGGTGTGAGCCACTGCACCCGGCCCAAGAGTTCTTTAAGTATTCTGGATTCTGGACCCTTGTCAAATGTGTGATTTGCCACCATCTTTTTTCCCTATGTTCAACGTTTTTGTGAAGTGCAATTCCCAAGGATGATGTTTCCACCTCGCCAGAAGTTGTCATGACCATTGACTATAAAGTCCTTGGAATCACCATCCACTCTCCCAGCACACGGGCTCCGCCTTTGTCATCTTCTACGCGTGGCATCTGACGCCTCTGGATCCGTTAGGAGAACCACTTTGGGAGACCCCCAGACCAAAGCCTCGCCAGGCTTTCATCATGCCACGTCTGTCTCACCCCACCCGAGCTCCCAGCAAGGGGGAGGACTCAGCTCCAAGCGCAGGGTTTGGGGCCATGTTGAACTCACACTTCGCAGGTGTCTGCCCTTAGCTTCTGTGCCTCTGGTCTCGTCTCATCCTCCTCTCATCGCTTTCTCATCAGACATCCGCAGAGGCCAACGTCATCGCCATCCTTCCTACCTGCCAAGGCGGGAGCGTGCAGGGCCGGGGCCAGGCGCCTGGGAGCGGGGATGGGGTCTTCTTCCGCAGCTGACTTGCAACCGCTCCCTGGCAAGTTACCTCTCAGACTCTCGATATTTGCAAATTAAAAGTGAAATTATTGAGATGATTCAAGGTTAGTCTGTATTTCTGTGGCATGACTATTGCTGAGCATAGAGATGACCAAGTTACCAATGAGATTCGAACCAGGTGCAGAGTCAACTGTATAGGGCCGCAGAATTGATTAAGGTGAGATATTGTGCAGACTGGTCAGAAAGCGCACAGGTCTTCCAGCCAGGCAGATCTGGGTTAAACTCCTGGGCAGGAAATTCCACACTGACAAATGTTAGTTATCTCCTCTATAAAATGTGAATAATGAATTAAGTAAGCACCACGCCTGGCACATAGTACATGTTCAATAAACAGCTACTCATTATTTAATGATTTATGAATTTGAAATTTTATAAATGTCACCAACAAGCTATTGCACGTTAAGTTTCTAAACAATAATCCCCACTAGCTAGTTTTCCGGGGGGAAGTTTAATGCCGTGACACAGGAAGTGGTTGGAGCTGCTCAAGGAGGACTCACTTTCAGCCTGGGCTAGAGGGAGGAAGTGACTTGCTGTCAAAGGAGATTTAACACGCCCTGACTTGGGGACCACGAAGAGAGCCCAGCCACCAAAGTGGATGGGCCCTGACGCATGAGGGCAGAGAGACCGACTGAGGCAGACTTTGTACTGAGCAGTGAAGCAGGCAGACAGAGGGACGGGCCATGGAGATCAGTCCGTGTGGATTTGACTGTGAAAGGCTGTTCTCTGAATAATTACGCTGCTCATGACATCCAACTCTCTGAGATCAGGGCTCCGAACTGAGAAATGAACATCCTGGGTCATGTCAGATCAATGCACAGAACAATGTAATGAAGGTCACAATCTAAAGTCCCCAGGGCCCAAGGAGGAGACCCACTGGACCAGAACAATCCCTCAGGGGCAGAGATGACACCCTGGCTGCCTTTGGGTTGAATCTGGCCTGTAGCCTTGTTTCCCTTGTCTGGAACAAATTTGATTTTTGTGCTCAACATTCAAACATGAGATGTTCGTCATTAGGAATCAATCAATCAGTCAGTCAATCCGTGGTTTACTCAGGAGCCACAGCAAAGGACTTTGTTGTCCCGTGGCAGTGTGGCTGGATCTGTGTCCGGGCTGCCTCCAGTAGACAGGCTGTGGGTTCCCAGGCAGCTGCCGCTGCTTTGTTCATCTGCGTTGCTTGCGTGGCCCCTGCAGGCATTTGAGTTTGAGATCTTCGGTGCTTAAGATCTCTCACCAGTTGTTCAATCTTGAGAAAATGGGACAGTATGGCCAATCCTACAGTTCGTTGTTTATGAGGTTGATGAGTAAATGGAATGTGGCACCCAACTGTCACACTCATCATCACACTCCCTCCTCATTCTGTCCTCTTCACGACGTGCTGGGCGGAGTGGTGTCTCCTTCACCCTGGTGACATGTAGAGGTCCCAACCACTCCCCAGGCAGGGGGTGTGCACCACTGTTCTGGTTGGGAGCCACTGGTGGGGCAGGAGGGGACTTCGTGACGCAGACCTGTCAAAGCCAGGTGCGAGAACAGTTCCAAGGACTGAAACAGTTAGAACCAGATTTTCTGAGTCCCTGAAATAATTACCTCACCAGGGAAACCATCACAACAGATGTGATACTATCATTGTTTCGCTTTATGTTTAACCAAAATCATTTCTTCTAAACAACTCCAACACAAGAAGACAAATGTCAGAAAGACCAGTATGTCTGGGTCATCCCCTGAGGCGTCTGGTTCTCTTGCACATCACGCCTGACCTCACCGCCCATGGCTGCAAGAGGAGACGTTCTTCCCACCTGTGACTGGTGTGTCTGATGTGTCCTGTGCCTGCTTGAGCCATGTGGCTGCAGAGAAGACAGTGAAGGCTCGTGTTTTGTAAACCATACGCTGTTATACGTACCTAAGGGGTGATTATAGTAACATCAAGGAGTTATCCCTATGA